TGGATGAATATTTCTTTCCCATCCCTAAATGCCCTCGAGCAGGTGGTGGTCTGCTACTGATGCCTTGTCAACAACTAGGTCTTTTCAGAGGGTAGTTAAGACTCAGCCATATTTATGAGCTTCACAGTTTAGGAGTCACACAGTGACAAGAATTGATGAGGGCTGTTCCAGATTTCCATTCCAAAAGGCTATGAGTTGACATTATTTGGCTGTTATAAAAGACTTTAATATTCCTATAATGTTAGCTGCCATCCAGTTTCTGACTCTCTCTCTTTGCCTTTCTTACTTCCTTCTCCATGAATGTACAAATTGGGAGTAGATATAGCCATTCAGTCCATTCACCCTGCTTCACATTCAGTAAACTCCTGGCTGATTGGATTACTCCAATCCTGGCCTACCCTGACAACTTTTCACACTGCCCCTCCCCCAAACCCACTTGCTTATCAAGAATCTATCTACCTCTGTCACAAAAGTATTCAAAGACCTAGACTTTCAAAGATTCACAATCCTCTGAGAGAGAAAAAACATTCTCCCCATCTCTGTCCTGCCTTAGATTCTCTGTATTCAGCCTTATTATGGTGATACTGATAACTAGCCTAAACCTCTCAATTTGTTTTAATCTCTCCTGTTAGATTCCACTTATTGTGCTTGCCAAACACCTCTCCCACCCTCCGCCCCCCCACAACCCCCGCCATGGATATGCGCCTAGTTGATGGAATAATAGAATGGTGACAGCACAGGAGGCCATTTGGACCATCAAGCTCATGCTGGCTCTCTGCGAGTCAGTCAGTCGATTCCCTTGCCCTTTCTCCATAGCCCTGCGCATGCCTTTGTTTCAATATTTTAGTGGCAATATGACTAGACTAGGGATCCTGAGTCTCAGATTCATGCTGTGGGGACATGGATTTAATAAAAATCCCACAAATTCAGTTTGTAAAGTCTGGAATTGAAAGCTAGTCTCAGTTAGAGCAGCCATGAAACTCACCATCTGCCACAAAAGCCCAGGTTCTTGTTCACTCATTTCCTTTAGAGAAGGCAATCTGCTTTCCTTCCCTGGTCCAGACCACAGTGATGCGGTTGACTCTTAACTGCGTTCTGATATGATCCAGCAACACACACAGTTCAAGGATAATTACAGATTGGCAAAAAATTACTGGCCCGGCCAGCGACACCCACATGTTGTAAAAGAATGAAGGGGAAAAGATGCTTTATCCCCACTGGAGAGCCATGATTGAATGTGTCTGTACCATACTGTCTGGCAGTACGCTCCAGACGCTAACCGCTCCCTATGTAAAGAAAGGATTTTCCTTTTAGTTGTTGTACAAATCGATTTAATTTGACCTCTCAGCAATGGAACGGTTTCTCCCTGTCTACTCTGTGTGATCACTTCATGACTTTGAACACTTCTGTCAGATCAGTCCTCAATCTTCTCTACAAGGAGAGAAGCTCTGGTTTCTCCAATCCATCTACATCTCTGAAATCCCTCAACTCTGGAATCATTCTCCTGAATCTTTTCTGCACTCTCTCTAAAAACTTTCACATCTTTCCTTAATTAAGTATGCTGTCTAGAATTGGACACCAAGCACTAGTTGAGGGCAAAGCAATGTTCTTTATAAATATTCTCATATCTTCCTTGATAGTCAGAGACTTTTTCCCAGGGCAGAAATGACTATTACAAGGGGGCATAATTTTAAGGTGATTGGAGGAAGGTATAGGGGAGATGTCAGAGGTAGGTTCTTCACACAGAGAGTGGTGGATGTGTGGAATGCGCTGCCGGCAGTGGAAGTGGTGTCAGATACTTTAGAGTCTTTTAAGCGACTCTTGGATAGGCACATGGAGGATAGTAAAATGTAGGGTATGCAGGGTAGATTGATCTTAGTAGGATAATAGGTCGACACAACATCGTGGGCCAAAGGGCCTGTATTGTGCTGTACAGTTCTATGTTCTATGTTCCTTTCGTGTTCTTGCTTTTTCTACTTAATAAGGTCAGGACTAAATGCCTTTTTAACAATTTTCTCAATTTGACCTGCCATTTCACTTATTTGATACAGATCCCTTAGGTTCCTTTCTTCTGTACCCGCGTTGGAGCAACTTTCTTCTCCATGTTCTTCCACACAAAATGAATCACTTCACACTTTTCAGCATTAAATTCCATCACTCTCACAAGTCCTCTCCTCTCATCAGCCTGTCTGTGTCCTCTTGAAATCTATCTCTATCCTCACAGTTTACAATAATTGTAAGTTTTTACTTGCCTGTATATTTAGAAATTGTACTTGGTATACCAAAGGCAAAATTATCAATGTATATGCAAAAAAGCACTGGACCTAAGCACAGGCTTGGCACAAAACTGCCTTCTAGTGCCGGGACCCGGGTTTGATCACAGCCTTAGGTGGCTGTCAGTATGGGTTTGCATGTTCTCTCTGTGTGTCTGCTTGGGTTTCCACCAGCTGCTCTGGTTTCCTTCCACACTCTAAAGATGTGCAGGTTAGGGGTATTGGCCATGCTAAATTGCCTCATTGTGTCTGGGAAGTGTAGGCGAGGTGGATTAACCATGGGGAATACAGTGTTAAAGGGATAGGGTGGAGATGTGGGTTTGGTCAGTGCAGACTTGATGGGCTGAATGGCTTCTTCTGCATTGTAGGGATTCTATGACTCTAACATCAATCCTTGAGAAACCCCACTGTGAACTTGGCCATTTTTATATCCATGCTGCCCTTTTAAATGCCTTTTGAAAAGCCATGCACACCACTACCCTCATCAACCCTCTCTGTCACTACACAAGTCTCTTTCAATGCCTGATATTACATGCTCACCATTTCACTGGGTAATCTCCTATTGTTTAAGGCAGGGTCTCCTTGTCTCTTTGTAGCTATCTGTTGACCATGCTGTTCAGGATGTACCCAGGGAAAACATTTTCCCATTCCCCACACGAGCTATCCTCTCACTCACTGTAGGATGGTTGTATTGTTTGCTGGGCCTATGGTTACAGAAAGCCAGAATATAGCTTGCAGAGATGAAAGTGCCTAGTTTACTGTTCAGCCTCTAAAAGAAAGATCTCCGAGATTACAGCCAAGTGTTTGATGGGATGATCTGGCTGATGGATTGTGCTGCTAAAGACCAATGTTTGGTCATTAGGTTGTTGATGCTGGTCATGATCATTCACTGAACAAAGTGGGCCATATAAAAACTGCCAACTTGTCTGTGGATTGTAAGCTGAACAGCATCAGCACTGGTTCTTATGTACTCTGTAATGGTGTAGTCTATACCCTGTGGACATAGCCACATCCCCACCTATTGATGTCCAACTGACCACTGCAATGCTGTGCATTACTGGAACCCTCAGGTAGATCTCAGTATCCTTCCTTAATTCAAACAAAAACAGAAATTGCTGGAAAATACTCAGCAGGTTTGGCGCTATCTGTGGAGAGAAAGCAGAGTTAACGTTTCGGGTTCAGTGACCCTTCTTCAGAACAGAAACGTTAACTCTGTTTTCTCTCCACAGATGCTGCCAGACCTGGTGAGTTTCTCCAGCAATTTCTGTTTTTGGTCTGTATTTCCAGCATCTGCAATGTTTTGGTTTTTGTTTACCCTTCCTTGATTATACTCCCACATGTCATTACCCCTGCCTGTTTATGGTGCCACCCCAAATTTGGAGGTGATGTCCAGCCAACTGAGGAGAGGAATTATCTCACTACACACTGGAATGCCAACAACACCCCTCAACACCAGTTCAGATCTCACACACCATCTGCAGCCGTGTGTTTAATCCTGAGCCGTGTGACGTCAGTCCTGATAAAGCTTGTGAAGCTCAATGGAAACATCACAAGTACCTTGTGAAAGCCCCCAGTGCAGAGGTTCCTCAGCTTCAATCTTCTACAAGTCTCGAGGAGAACCTGAAGCTGCTTCCGCACAGACCACAGCAAGTGAGGATGTTGGATGCCCAAGTGGAAAATTTAAACTCTTCCATATGTGACTGATCGCTCGGAGCCGACCATTAAAAAAAATTACAACCCCATGCCCGATTACCAAGAACACAGGAGGAATCAAAGTGAGACACTGCAGGAACTCCACTGCAATTATTTGGCTTAACCCCCTGAATGTGCCATTAGACTTGTTTCTCCACATCTACATTAGCAGAAGACAGACCAATTAGGCTGTTAAATGTACACCGGAAGACAGACCAATTAGGCTGTTAAATGTACACAGGAAGACTCAGCTGCTTTCTACTGGATTACACTTTACTTGTGGCTTTGTGAATATTTCACGTGAGTCGAAGACAGGTAGCCAGTGATATCCATCTGGATGGTCTGTTGCATTGCATTGTATTTAACAGCTCTCTAACATAGCTCGACCAATCCTTCTTTCTCTTGTTATTAGCCACAACAGCTTGCATTTAGACAGGGCTCAAAAGTACTATAGTGGTTCACCTGGGCAGCACTCCAATAGGATTTGACAGTGTAACACACAGGGAGCTAAATCCCTTCTCATTTCTCCAGCTGCTGTCTGTGTGTGTGGCAACAGCTGGAGAAAGCAGGAGTGAATGCGTTGGCACAGAGATTGGCACGTGCAGGTTCTTGGGACACTTTAGAGGGAGAGTGGTAGGGATTAGTTAAAATAAAAAGCTTCATTAAAGAGATATGTGGGTGCACAAAACAGTTAGGAATGCACTGGCTTAGTGGCTTTTATTTCAAGGGCACTGGAGCACAGGAATCAAGAAGTCTTGCTGCAATTATAGAGAGACCTCCCCTGCTGTATTATTGTACAGTTTTGGTTAATAGACAGATACACTTTCCAAACTGACTGCCCCCCGCCCTCCCCAGCTGACCTTGGAGGTAGGCATTAAATTGCACTGTTTGACTCTAAAAGCACAGAAACATTTGGAACAAAAGAAACGTCAACCACATTTGTGAGTCCCATGTATTCCATCAGTTATTTTTGTTGTAGTTTTTTTTCCTTATCTGTCAAACTCACCGATGCTTTCTTTTACTGTATTTTAACAGTGCGTTTCTGGGGAGATATTGCCTTGGATGAAGAGGATTTGAAATATATTCACTTTGATGGAAGCACAGAATTAAGAAAACAGCAAGTTAGAAGAATGGGCCATGTATCTAGTAAGTGCTCCTGAACCAAAAAGCCTTGGAGGGTGAGAAAAGAATAAAGACTGCAAAGGAAATAATTTACACTGCACCGAAACATATTCTACTGGGAAAGTAAACCGGTCTTTGTTTGAAGATGCTTTGGTTAAATAAAGAAGCTAGAAACCAGTTAATAGTTTAGAAGAGGCATAATGAGAGCTGTAATTAGGAGAAAAATATTAGGAAAATATTTAATTAAATGACACGGTGGCTCAGTGTTGCCTCACAGCGCCAGGGACCCGGGTTCGATTCCATCCTCAGGTGACTGTCTGTGTGGAGTTTGCGCATTCTCCCCCTGTCTGCATGGGCTTCCTCCGGGTACCCCGGTTTCCTCCCACGTGTGCAGGTTAGGTGGATTGGTCATGCTACATTGCCCTGTAGTGTCCAGGGATGTGTAAGCTAGGTGGGAAATGAAGGGTTATGTGGATAGGTTGGGGGGGGCTGGGTTTTGGTGGGGTGCAGACATGAGGGGCTGAATGGCCTCTTTCTGCACTAAAGGGATTCTGTGAAAAGTATTTCACTAATATACCAGCAAATTGGAGTTGTTAGAGATGAGGCAAATGGGAGAAGAGGACTGTTAGCTTGGAAAAGCGAAGCTGTTTAATAAATACTTCACCCTGATCACTAATAACAGGATTATAATAGCCCCTGATTGAGTTTCAGGGAGGAGGGGAATACTAATGTGGTTGAGAGTAAAATGCGCTATTACTATAACGGATAGGAGGAAAACTTTGGTTGAGATCATTAAATTAAATGAAAATTTTTAAAAAAGGAGGGCTAACAGGATACATCCTTACATCCTAAGGGAGGAGAATGCAATTCCTGGGAATCCTTTAGTCCAGGTTGGTCTGTGTGTGGATGAGATCTGAGGACTAGGGACCAGTCACTAAAAGACCTGTTTACGAACAGAGACACAGTGCTAATCCAAACGGTGACAGACCAGTTAGCTCAATATCTGTGATTGAGAAAGAAAAGATCAAGTCTGGAAGTACCACGTATTTGGATAAAGGTAAAACAGTTAGAAGTAGCAGGATGGGTTTTGGAAGAGGTAATCACTAGTTAATAAGGAAGGGGAAGTGTGGTAGATGTGGTGAATATGGACTTTCAAAACAGTGCCTCACAAATTTGAAAAGATTTCAGCTATGGAATTAATGAGAGGGATGGAAAATTGGATTGAAAATTTGACTGGAGGGAAGTATTTTGAGATGAGCAATTCAGGGCAATTTATCAGAATGGAGTGCAGTGGGTAATGCTTTCCCATAGGGTTCAGTTCTGAGGTCTCTTTGATTCACTGGGATGATCAATAAATGGGATTCAGATTGATGGGACTGGGGTCAGAGCTTGTAAATGATCCCAGAATAGGAACTCAAGTCGAGTCTTTTGAAGAACTGAGAGAAGTGTTATTGTACGTGAATAAATGGGGAAATGGGCTAAAATGCAGCAGACAAAATTCCACGTCAGTAAATTTGAGATGGATATGATTCAAACCGAATATTATTTTGTGAATAAACTTTGCTATTAAGATAAATAGCAGCAATGAATATATTCTGATGAGCAGTGGGCTAACACCATGGGAGGGCAGAGATTTGAAGAGGAGGATCATAGGATTTTACAGCCAGTGGTGAAGAAACTGAAATACAATAATTAATATTTTAGGTTTTATCATGGTTTATAAATTAAGGATACTAAGAGCTAAGTATAAAACTTACGTGTGTACGAGTTTGAGAATTATCTGCAAATTTGGATTCAAAACCGTAAAGAAAGTAAATACCTGGTTTGTTGTAGCACCTTGTTCTAAATTGAAATGCTTTGAAGTACAATCTAGCCAATGAGGCACTTTGTGAAGTGTAGTCATTGTTATAGTGGAGTGAAACAGGCTGGCTAATGTGCATGCACAGTAAGCTCCCACAGTTGTCAGTAAGGAAGACAATGGTGTCGTGGTTAACAATCCCAACCTTTAGGCTTTTGTTCTGAGGCCATGTGTTCAAAACCTTCATCACCTGTTGGAACTTCACTTGATTAATCGGTGATTGTTCTAAAAATCCATCTGGTTCACTAAAGTCCTTTGGGGAAGGAAATCTATCACCCTTACCTGGTCTGGTTTACATGTGACTCAGACCCACAGCAATGTGATTTCGTAACTACCCTCTGAAATATGTCAGTGAGCAACTGCATTGAAGGTCAATTAGGGACGGGTAAAAGGTGTTGGACAAGCCAATAATATGCACGTCCCATGAAAGAAAAAAAATGTGATAGTGACGAGATCATTAATTTTTAATGTCTCGAGACCTGGGGGCAATCTCCTTGCTGTTCTCTGAATTGCAGGATGGGATCTTTTTGCATCCAGGTCAGAGGACAGACAGAGACTTGATTTATCATTAATCTGAGCATGTTGAAGCTTTTAAAAAGGGGCAGAACAGAAATTACTGGAGAGCCATGTCATGCGAGAAAATAAATATACCAAGAAGAGCTTGGAGAATGGATCTGATTAAATTGATGGCAGGTTATGGGGCAACAGGATGGTTTACGTGGGAAAGTTGGGAATAGAAATAGACTCTTCGCAATAGATGAGAAACCTGGAAAGAGAGAGAATAGGTACAAAGAATATGTGCACAGTTCTGTAAATTTAGTCAATACCAGTTGTGCTTGGTTCCTCCAGTCCTTGACAGACAGCAATAGGAAAGTTTCACCAAAATGACAGAGGTTACTTTACTGAAGCTCTGTTGTCGGACCTCTAGATGCACCAAGACCCACGTGTGGATGTGAGATTACCTGATCCTCCGACAGTGCGGCTTTCCTTCAGTACTGGTCCTCTCACAGAGCAGTGCTCCCTTAGTACTGATTGTCCGACAGTGCGCTCTCCCTCAGTACTGATCCTCCGACAGTGCGGCTCTCCCTCAGTACTGATCCTCCGACAGTTCGGCTCTCCCTCAGTACTGATCCTCTGACATGCGGCACTCCCTCAGTACTGATCCTCCGACAGTGCGGCTCTCCCTCAGTACTGATCCTCCGACAGTGCGGTTCTCCCTCAGTACTGATTCTCTCACAGAGCAGTGCTCCCTCAGCACTGATCCTCTCACAGAGCAGTGCTCCCTCAGCACTGGCCCTCCGAACTTGCAGCACTCCCTTGGCACTGGTCCTCCAACAGCGCAATGTCAAGTAGACAGATATATTGACCTTCAGTTGGGGAGCTGACCGCACATGTACAACAATCCACACCTGACTCTTCCTGGCTACAACACACCTTTTCCCCCACACCTCACTCCTAGCTGGTCAGGTGCCAGTTTAAATAGGCCTGTGATATAATATCATTCACACAAGTGGCTTTGTGTCAAATTCAGCCAGTGATGATTACACTGTACAGCACCTACACGATGGATCTTTGTCTGCAATGTGGTGACAGTATGACAGATCAATCAACTGAGTCAATAAATGTGGAGCTGAAAAAGCACAGCAGGTCAGACAGCATCCGAGGAGCAGGAGAGTCAACGTTTCAGGCCAAAACCCTTCGTCAGGACTGAGGAGGGGAAGTGGAGCCCACAAATAAATAGAGGGAGTGGGGTGCGGCTTGTGGGAGGGAAAGTGAGATGGAGATATGGAGATAGATGGATGCAAGTAGGGGGTTATTGTGGTTGGTCAGTGGGAAGGGTGGAGCAGATAGGTGAGTCAAAAGATGGATAGGTTTAGGGAGGAGAGATTTTGAAGCTGATGAAGTCAGTATTAAGGCCATTAGACTGTAAGCTCCCAAGGCGAAATATCAGATGTTGTTCCTCCAGTTTGCATTTGGCTTCACTCTGACAGTGGATGAGGCCAGGGATGGATATGTCACCAGGGAGTGAGAGATGTGGTCAAAGAGCTTCAGGGCAGAGGAGATAACTGGGGGTTGCAGTGGGAGAGAGACTCGCTGAGCTCTGTTCGGAGGGAGGAGGAAAACTTCTTCAAGGTAAGCATCCTTAGAAGAGACTACATAAGTGACTTGGAGACTGTAAGGAGGACTGCAGATGCTGGAAGCTAGAGTCAATAAATGTGTGGTCGACGAGGTTTAGGACAGAGGAGAAAACCAGGGGATTACAGTGGGAGAGAGTCTCACTGAGATCTCTTTGGAGGGAGAAGGAAAACTAACAGACTGCTTCTGAGGCTAGTGAGAGAGATTAACCCTTTCACAAACACAGCACTTCACAGAATGCTGAGGTCCTTTAGAAACATAGCATCCTAGTATTACGCCCTATTGAGTTTGTGCCCTATTTCGCCCTATATGCCCTATTTCCTTTGAAGAACATTACAGATTGGCCCATTCACTCGTACCCATATGACTGCACATTCTTCTCTTACAAATATTTGCCTCATTTGCTTGAGAGCAGTAAATCCTGCCTTTTTATAGCACCTATCAAGATTGTCAGATGTCTTGTTGTGTTTTCCAGTCAATGAAGTCATAGAGTCATACTGCACAGAAACAGACCCTTTGGTCCAACCAGTCAATACTGAACATAATCCCAAACTAAACTAGTCTCACCTACCTGCTCCTGGCCCATAAACCTCAAAACCTTTCCTATTCATGTATCCATCCAAATATCTTTTAAACGCAATTGTACCCGCATCCACCCCTTCATCAGGAAGTTCATTCCATACACGAACCACCCTCTGTGTAAAAAAAATTGCACCTTATGTCTTTTATAAATCTCTCGCCTCTCACCTTAAAAATATACCTCCTAATCTTGAAATTCCCCATTGTAGGGAACAACGACCATCAACGCTATCTATGCCTCTCATTATTTTATAAACTTCAATCAGGTCACTTATCAACCTTTTACGCTCCAGTGAAAAAAGTCCCAGCCTATCCAGCCCTTCTTTATAACTCAAACCTTTCATACCCGGCAACAACCTGGTAAATCTCTTCTGAACCCCCTCCAGTTTGATAATATCCTTCCTATAACTGGGCAACCAGAACTGGACACAGCATTCCAGAAGAGTCCTCG